TAAACCCAGAGGCTCAGACCCAAAATCAACACCCAAACGTTCCCAGAGGAACAGGCAACGGCAAGAAAACACCAGAAAAACAAAGAAACGACAACAGGAGAACAAAAACCCTGCAAATTTTTTGAAAACTCACCAGAGACGCTCGCTCGCACACCCAGACGCATGTAAACAAACCGCAACGCCGCCCTGGTGGCCACGCCGGGAAACCGGCAGACGAAAATGGCCGCCAGCAGGGGCTGTGACTGACGCTTAATACACAAAAACACGCCAGCAAATGTGGGAAGCTAGCAGACTGGAAGGGCGAAAAACGACGCCCAAAAGCAGAAAAACCCCTGAAGGGGCAAAACCGCCCCAGAACTGCTAGTAGGCAACCCCCACAGCCCCGGGAACCAACAACAGAGGCCCCGGGGCAGAGCCGTCCTCCAAGCCCTCCGCCCTGAAAGAAAAGCAAGAGCCCATGGGAAAGGCAACAAGAAAGGGCCGCTGGTAAGACCCAGAAGCCTTGGCAGGAGGCACAGGCTCAAACCTCCGTCCCCAACCCGAACGGGGCATCCCCCGAAAACCGCCCGAGTCTCTGCCGCAACTGAACCCCGCCCCGACCCAGAAACACGCAGACGGTCCGGAGCCGGGAACATGGAGAGAAAGGGGCGAGCAGCACCTAACCAAACGGGGCGGCCACGGGCATTCGAGTGGGAAACCAACCTAGCATGTTGCAGCAACCTAACCTAGCTTGCAACACGGATGCCGCCTGTACTCTGAACAGTAATAACATCAGGAGAGTACTGGAGAACAAGCAGAGAATCACTCGCAAGACTCCGGGTCAAGGTGTCAGTGACCCAACAGGCAGCATGACGGAGGTAAAAATGGCGACTGTCACCCGGAGACAAGGGAACAGCAACCAACGATCCCGTACAAGACGGGTTGGAACCCGGAAGACACATTCAATGGTCCCCCGAGCCCAGACAGGGGTTTCCAGGGCCCGTAGGGTAACAACTACGGGAAGCCCGGGCAAGGTGTTGCTAACCGGTTAAGAAACCCAAACATAACAAGAGGGTAGATTATAGCACTGAAAACCCCCGAGACGTGTACAAGCACGGGGGCCTAGCAGAGGGCCGCCAAACACTACCAGTGGAACTATAACCACCTTAGGCAGACCCCCACCAGGCAAGAAAATGAAAAACAAAAGAAAAACCCCGCAAAAGTACACCGTCTCCAGAGGCAACAGAAACCGGCCGCCGCTTAGGTGGCAGGCTGCGCAACACCTTGACGCCCTAACCAGCACAATACCAATCCCTACCCAGGGCCAAACAAGGGCCCCAAGCCCCAGCTGGCCCCAAGGGCGAGGCAAATGCCGAGCAGCAAGAACCTCTACGGGAATGGTTCCCGAACGCCCCAGGGAAGATAACCCTGTAACGCAAGGGCAGTACTCACAGGGCGCTTAGGGAAGTCAGCCACTAAGCACATGCAGCCCCGGCACTGATGAAGTACTCCTGGCCACCGCACACCACAACACACGGCAGTGAACGCCACACAAGGCAAACACCGCCTAGGAAACCGAGGCCAGAGAAGCGTCAATCCCGGTTGACATTAGCGAACGAACTGGAGCTTGGCAGCCGGCGCGGTAGGTCCGGGGCTCCCCCCTCCCCCTCCCGGGGTGGGGAGGGCTGCGCGGACGATCGGCGCGGCAGTAAAGTGTGATGTTTGCTTGTTTGCTTGTTTCCTTGGGATTGTAGGGAGTTTTCTACCTCTCTGTTCGGTTTTTGTTGTAGTTTCTTACCATGTGGGGTTTGTTTTGTTACGCCTACCTTTCTGGGTGCCTAACCCCGGTCGATGGCAGATAAGGAAAACCCCCAACCATATGGGGTTTTCCAGGGCCATTGCTCCCTGAAACCTCTCTGAAGGGGCCAGGTTCTGGCGCTGGTCCCTGGTAGGTCTGAACTCCTTAGCTAATGTCCCGGTCTAACATAACACACATTAGCCCGATAAGCTCCAGGGAGCCGTAGGGGCTCCCCACAGAAAAAGCACTAACGATGCACTCATTAGTATGCTTAACTCGATTCATACAGCCCTTGATAAAAAGGAGATCCCTGTTGGGTTATTTGTGGACCTGCGTAAAGCTTTTGATACTGTCAACCACCATAACCTTCTTCTTAAATTACATCATTATGGAGTCAGAGGGCACTCCCTACAATACCTCGAGTCCTACCTTACTGACAGGCTCCAATATGTTTCTGTGAATAATACAATTTCTCCCACCCTACCCATCAACATTGGTGTTCCTCAGGGCAGCATACTTGGCCCTCTCCTCTTTCTCATCTACATTAATGACCTTCCAAATGCCTCCCAACACCTCAAACCAATTCTATTTGCTGACGACACAACCTTCATTTACTCCAGTCCTGACCCTCTTGCTCTAAATGCCACAGTAAATACTGAGCTAAATAAAGTCCATCATTGGCTAACTGCCAACAAACTCACCCTTAACATTGACAAAACCTTCTATATTCTGTTTGGCAATAAATCCTCTAGTCTTATAAATCTCAAAATAAACAATACCCAAATTTGTAACAAATTAGATGGCAAATTCCTTGGCATTCTCATTGACAACAAGCTGAATTTCCAGGGTCACATTCTAAATATATCAAAAAAAAAAAAAAAAACTGTGGGCATTCTTTCTAAGATCAGTTATTATGTACCACGCCCTGCTCTGGTGACTCTCTATTACTCCCTTATCTATCCTTATCTCAACTATGGTATTTGTGCTTGGGGTTCTACTACCCAAAATCACTTACGTCCTCTAATTACCCAACACAAAGCCGCTATTAGAACAATATCCAACTCTGGCCCCAGACATCACTCGGTACCCCTACTCAAATCTCTTAATATGTTAGATATTAAGTCACTGCACATTCTCTCATGTGTATTACACATATATAAAACGCTAAACTATAATACCAATCCTGATCTTAAAAGCTTCATAGAAGGTTGTAACAGAACCCATGAGCACCACACCAGAAATAAATTCAGTTTTGATATTCCTAGAGTACGTCTTAATCAAACTAGAAATGCTCTGCAAATCAAGGGGCCCAGAATGTGGAATGACCTTCCCAACCATGTTAAAGACTGTACCTCTCTCAACCAGTTTAAGATAAAAACTAAACACTACCTAATAAATTCCCTGTAATCTACCTCACTCCTCTATTGTCAACCCATGTCTGTTATTTTCTTTTTTTTTTTTTTTCTTTTTTGTAATCAACACTGTTTGTCAACCTATTGTATTTGTGCTGCTTTTTCAGTCATGTTCCCCCTTTTTTTTATCTTTATTTGTATTTGTTCTCAACATCTTTTATTCTTTATGCTCAATTAGTATTAAGTTCTAGATATTAATGTTTTTCTTGCCCGAAACGCATTGCGTAATAGTGGCTTTAGGCATTGTATGTACTAGCTCTATCTATATATCAATCCATTAATGTAACATCACTTGTATGTATATACCTTACCTGAATAACATCTGAATCTGAATGTGGTTTCACTCGTTAATAGAGGCGAGCTCGTCAATAGAGACAAATTTGCTGCGAGTGGCTTGCTCGTTACTGGAAAAACTCGTTAATAGAGCCACTCGTTAATAGAGGTTCCACTGTATTTGCAAGTATCATGGGCACGAGAGTGGCTAGACTGAGTGACACTGCAGACATGAGAAATGCGAGCTTTGGAAATGGGATGAAGAAAACAGGGCCAACCAACAAGGCATCCACAAAGACAGAGCTGGTGGCCTGCAAGTAGTGGTCCACTACCCCCACCAAACAAATGATGCATCCTTTGGTCTAACCAATTCAGCATCTACCAACAAAAGACCCACTGCAGAAGCCCTTCTTTGCCAGAAAAGGAGAGGGCTGCAATTGAAAAAATTGCCCAACAGGGCCAAAAGAACAGAACCATTGGTTCGTAAACTTCACCACTACCCAGCCCTACAGCCAGGGAGCTAACAAAAACACAACTTTGAGAAAAACATCATGAGCCGAAGGTGAAATCGTAAACCAAGGGATAAGGACTGTGGAGACCATCCTCTCATGGTCTGGAGTAAACTAGGGAGAATTGAAAAAACTAGGGATGAATGAAGTCCAAAGATGGTTGGCACTTAGCTCGAAGCAGAGGGGTTTGCAATGTCTGAAAAATCACAGCACTACCGATCATCACATCAGCAACAGAACTGACCAGGGGAGCCAACTGTTGGCTGGGGCCAGGCTGCTGGTGGCAGCTATCGGTTATCTTCTCGAGGTTATCTTGAGACGATTTCAGGGCTTCGCGTCCCCGTGGCCCGGTCCTCGACCAGGCCTCCTTTTTGTTACACCCCCGCGGGAAGTACCTCGTAGCAGATGTCTAACTTCCAGGTACCTATTTACTGCTAGGTAACAGAGGCATCAGGGTGAAAGAAACATTTTGCCCATTTGTCTCCGCCTCTACCTGGAATCAAACCCAGAACCTCAGGATTACGAATCCGAAGCACTGTTCACCCAGCTGTCACCCAGCTGTCGGTACTAACAAGTTCAGTCTAGTTTTGAGTGATTCTATTGTTTAGTTTGATTTGTTTGCAAAGTTGTTTGGTAGTTTTGAGGCTTCATTTTCTGTAAACCCTTTAGTGGCCTGTAAAGCTTCGCTGACTTTCTGGATACTTTCCCAGTGGAGTGGTGAATAATTAATTGCTATTTGCTCTCCTGTGAGGGGGAGGGGGAAGAGCAGGTTCTGGCTCTGGTCCCTGGTAGGCCAAACAGAAGACCTGTGACTGATGTGACTCATTAGATGGATCAATAACAGTGAGATAGTGTCAAGAAGCCACCAGGAGGCTCCCCAAGAAATTCCCAGGTACATGGTAGACTTAAGAAGTCATAAAGTTTATAGGTGCTAAATAAGTAAATAACATTATGGTTAATACACTGCACATTTTTTTTTTATGTAAATGAATGACAATAGCAAAACTAAAAGAACTGAGTATTATATACCTCATCTGTTGGCTCAGTGGTGAGGATTAGCCTAAAGTTAGGGTTGAGAGTGCCATTATCAGAACGTGAATTACTCTTTGTGGTGTTGGTGTAGAGTCTTGTAATAATGTTAGCCAGGGTTGGTAGCCAATCTAAAGCATGGTGCAAGTTCTGTAGCACCACCCATCCACCCTCACAGGCACTTACACTCACAGCAGCTTCTGCCACACCTGACTGAATACAAAAAATGCATGAAGGTTGTTTCATTACAGTGTACATTGTAAGTTATAGTATTGTTCCGGAGGTATCAGTGAATGGAACACAATTGTGTTAATTGTGCAAGGAATCTGCAGGAATGGATATTAACACTATAATTTTTATTTTTGGGTTTGAAACTTTCCCCTAGGCATTCCTAATTACAAAATGAGAACATATAAATAATTTAGGGTGCAATACAATATTGAAAACAAATAAACTTAAGAATGATGTTGTAATGGCATGTGGTATGAAGTTACAGAATAGCTAGAAAGAAAAAACAATGGAGGGCCAGCAGAGATGGTGAGACTGCATAGAACTACTAATGCCAGAGTGAACTGTCCAGCAAACAAATTTGTATTGAAGAGTGCACAATGTAAAGGTAGAACCACAGCAAAGCCTGGTGAACACTGTGAATACTTTATTGAAAGACTTGACAGAAAATATTGCTGGGAAAAAATTGAAAATCACATGCACAGGAAACATTTTATGAAAGAGGCATTTGAATGAATAAAAAATAGGACCTACCTCATGACTAACTGTGCACATTAAATAACAGAAAGGAACTCAAGTAGCATGGAAGATATATTTCACTGAATTAAAAATGTATTTGAAAGGTAGAGACTGATGAGAAATGTAGAGGCTTATGGCATTCTGGGTGCTATTCTAGGCTAGATAACAACACGGTTATTCATATGCAGATGATGAATCACAATAACGTGACTTAAGATATGATGACCAAACCACATATCAGGAAAGTGAAGAAACAGCAATGTTTCAGTCCGTCCTGGACCATTATAAAGTTGTGTAATTCTCCCCCAGACCCCCCTTTTTTTTTTTTTTATACTTTTACTTTTACACGGCCTGATAATGGTCCATGACAGACTGAAATGTTGTCATTTCTTCACTTGCCTGATGTGTGGTTTAGTCATCATGGTTATTTCAAAGGATATACTAGTGTAGTGCATCAAGGGTTCTGTCCTGGGACTTCTACTGTTTACCATTTATATAAATGATTGAGATGAAGGATTGAGTAACAATGTTTGCAAATTTGCCAATGGTACAAAAATAATCAGCACTGAATGTAATAGAATGCCTCTTTCTGGTAGAGCCTTGGTGGCTCCCTGAAACTGTCTTGCCGAGATGGGTTCCCACTACCGAGTTATATCAGCCATAGAAATCTTGTTGGCCTACTTAAAACAAGAGCCCAAACCTAGCCTCTTCAGAGATGCAGAGAGAGTTGGAGATTGTTACGGTCAGACCATACCGAGACAGCATCCAGGAAGTAAAGGAATCAATCCAGACAACTGCAAAGTTCACAAAAATGAAACACCAAAACAGCCAATCCAACTGGATCACTTAATACTAGATCAAATACCGTAGTTTCTCTTTTAAACTGGTTGAGAGAAGGATAGTCTTTGATGTGATTAGGAAGATCATTCCACATTTTGGGACCCTCGATTTGCAGTGCTTTTTTACTTAACCAAAGCATAAATGTTCGGCAAATCAGAGGGTCCCAAAACATAGAATGATTCTCCTAATCACCCGTTGCACTAGGGGTTCATACTAATTTTGAGTGAACCACTTATTTTTAATGAATCATTTGTAGGGTCGTTTGGCTGTTTTGGTGTTTTGCTTTCTGTGAACCTTGAAGTAATTTGTATTGCCTCATTGAGTTTCTGAATTTCTTCCTAGTGAGGGTGCTCATACAACCCCTCCTCCTGTTTAGAGAGTACTTTTTGTAATTATGTGGACCAGCATACATATATTAAAGTAATGGACAATTAGATACTAGAATTTGGTACTATTCACTTCAAAGAGTCTGGAAAAAACCAGCGATGAATGCGATGAAACGCCATTTTCTGGGCGAGACCCAGAGGCTCCCCGGAGCTATACTGGGCTGATGTGTATATATTAGACCGTGGCAACAGTCAATCAAAGGAGTTCTAAGCCTACCGGGGACCAGAGCCAGAACCTGGCCCCCCTCAACAGAGGCACGAGGAGCAGTGGCCTAAAGACACCCCTGTGTAATTGGAAGCAGTCTTTGTCTGCCATCTACCAGGTCAGGCACCCAGAAAGGTAGGAATTCTAAAACAAACTACTGCTGGTCAAAAATTGCAAACGGAAAGTCGAACTAGCAAGCAAAACTCCCCAATCAACCTTCAGGAAACCAAGGAAACCAGGAAACCAAACCCTGAGATCTAGAAAGAACCACAACCCTGGCGAGCAAGACAAGCGGACTGACTGGGAGCCCACACCAGCCAGTCGTCTAGGTAGGTCAGACACCGAATCCCAAGCAGACTCAGACAGGGCACCAAGATCCGGTAAAGATGCAAAAATACACCAAGTACCAATTACAAAATAGGGAAGGCAACAAAAATGGCAAGTCTGAAGCCCCACCATCAACTGTGCCAGTCCTGGAAAACTGGAGAGGAACGATGGAGTGTGTTTAGAGTGACACGATGGAACGTGTTTAGAGTGACATGCAATTCATCTTTTATGAGAGCATGAACTATATCAATACACTTTTCACCTTCACGTTCCACAGGAATAGCTGGGACCAACACAACAACAGAGTCGAGCAGCTTTTGCTGATCTTGTTCATCCTGGGAGATGGAATGTTGGGTGGATAATGTACTGATACATACAGTCATTTTGTTGAGAGCTTCCTCCTGTTTTTTTAATGGCTTCATCAGTTTTCAGACGCATGTTTTCCTCACGAAGATCATTCAAGTCATGCTGGAGTTGATCTTGGCTAGCCTTATAGTTTCTAATATTCTCGTGGAGAAGGGTTATTTCTTGTTGTTGATGATGAAGGTTCGTGAGGTTCGCTTGATTCTCAGTTTGAAGGCTCTGGATGATCGTAATTTGAGCCTCAAGGACTAGGCACAACTTTTTGAACCACTGATTCTCAGCCCAGTTAGGGAAATTCAGTCAGAGACCAGAAGCACACTTGAATTTCATGAAGTGGGATGTAAGCGTGGCATTAGGAGAGGATTGAGAGGACACAGCTCCCTGGCTCAGTGATGGAGTAGAAGGGAGAACAGTACCGCTGCCATGGACCCCAGAACTTCCAGAGGGCGAAACACGATGGCTGTCTGTGTTCTGTGTTGTTTGGGATGGACGCCTTGTTAGGAGCTTTGTTGCTCTTATTTCCCTGTGCAGTCTTGTTTTTGGGAGACATGATTAGTTGAGAATTGACTGGGGTATATGTTGTGGCTGAAACTTGCGTCAGGTAGCACAGAGGCAGGCAGAGGCGGGCAGCAGGCACTGTACTCACAGTCGGAAAGGATTGTTTTGAATTTTGTTTGAGATGGAATGAGTTGATTGGGTTGGTTACTTTCAATGTGTTATGACAGGCTTGGACTCCATGTACTTAGCTGCCTGTAGGTGGTGTTCTACATCATCTAGGGGTAGTTTGAGGGCTGAAAACAGCTTAGAGTGAGGAGTGTAGCGAGCACTCAACAGTGTCAGACGGTAAGCCGTCTGTAGGTTGTCTGATAGCATCTGTTATGTAACCTGGGACACCACTGTAGCCCTCAACCTGTTCCCAATACTTAGGTAATTTGATATTCCAGGAGCTTGCTGCAGTGTAACTCCTGCCTCCTCCGGAGTGTATAATTATTGTGTGTGTGTAATTACCTAAGTAATTACCTAAGTGTAGTTACAGGATGAGAGCTACGCTCGTGGTGTCCCGTCTTCCCAGCACTCTTTGTCATATAACGCTTTGAAACTACTGACGGTCTTGGCCTCCACCACCTTCTCACTTAACTTGTTCCAACCGTCTACCACTCTATTTGCGAAGGTGAATTTTCTTATATTTCTTCGGCATCTGTGTTTAGCTAGTTTAAATCTATGGCCTCTTGTTCTTGAAGTTCCAGGTCTCAGGAAGTCTTCCCTGTCGATTTTATCAATTCCTGTTACTATTTTGTACGTAGTGATCATATCACCTCTTTTTCTTCTGTCTTCTAGTTTTGGCATATTTAATGCTTCTAACCTCTCCTCGTAGCTCTTGCCCTTCAGTTCTGGGAGCCACTTAGTAGCATGTCTTTGCACCTTTTCCAGTTTGTTGATGTGCTTCTTAAGATATGGGCACCACACAACAGCTGCATATTCTAGCTTTGGCCTAACAAAAGTCATGAACAATTTCTTTAGTATATCGCCATCCATGTATTTAAATGCAATTCTGAAGTTAGAAAGCATTGCATAGGCTCCTTGCACAATATTCTTAATGTGGTCCTCAGGTGATAGTTTTCTATCTAGAACCACTCCTAGATCTCTTTCTTTATCAGAATTCTTTAAAGATTTCTCACATAATATATAGGTTGTGTGGGGTCTATGTTCTCCTATTCCACATTCCATAACATGACATTTATTAACATTAAATTCCATTTGCCAAGTGGTGCTCCATATACTTATTTTGTCCAGGTCTTCTTGAAGGGCATGACAATCATCTAAATTTCTTATCCTTCCTATTATCTTAGCATCATCAGCAAACATGTTCATATAATTCTGTATACCAACTGGTAGATCATTTATGTACACAATAAACATCACTGGTGCAAGAACTGAACCCTGTGGTACTCCACTTGTGACATTTCTCCATTCCGATACATTGCCTCTGATTACTGCCCTCATTTTTCTATCAGTCAGAAAATTTTTCATCCATGATTGAAGCTTACCTGTCACCCCTCCAATATTTTCCAGTTTCCAGAACAACCTCTTATGTGGAACTCTGTCGAAAGCCTTTTTTAGGTCCAGATAGATGCAGTCAACCCAGCCATCTCTTTCCTGTAATATCTCTGTGGCCCGATCATAGAAACTGAGTAAATTCGATACACAGGATCTTCCTGATCGAAAACCATACTGTCTGTCTGATATTATATCATTTCTCTCCAGGTGTTCTACCCATTTAGTTTTGATTAGCTTTTCCAATACTTTCACTATTACACTTGTCAATGATACAGGTCTATAATTGA